TTTATTTTTTATCTTTGGCTGAGTTGTAAGCTTAGGTGGCGGCTTAAATGCAAAAATATGACTGTAGGGAGATTTGAACCATGCACCTCTTGTGCAAAACAAGCCACATATCCCACTTGAGGTACTAGACACCATGCAATTAATGTGACCTAAAATATATATGTATCTGCAATTTAACATCATTTTATTAGAAAACAAATAATTCGTTAAATAATATATTTAAATATGCATAATATATTTAAATAAATATATATATTTAAAGAAATAAATATACTTAAATAAATAATAAATTAAATAATATATATAAGATATGATATATTTAAATATATATCAAATAATAAAATATATATAATTTATTGAAATAAATAAATATATTTAATAATATATTGTTATTTTTTATTTATTTCATTTGCTTATTTTTATTTCGTAATTAATTTACATATAATAAATAAATTATGTATAAATTTTATAATTAAAAGTGGTATTATCTAATATATTTATAATATTTACTTATTTAGTAATTATTTAATATTATTTAATATATTTTTTATATAATATTATTATATTTAATACATATAATATTTTGTTGTTTAATATATTTATTTATTTAATATAAAAAAAATAATTAAAATTAAATAAATTCGATCAGTATAAAAAATAAAATAAACGATAATAAAAGTTAAATAAAACAAGGTAATTTGATTATTATAATTAAATAAAGAAATATATTAAATATATATAATATAATTACATAAATAAATTTATAAAAATATATATTTTAAATATTAAATAATATATTATTATCCTATTTATTTCATTTGTTGATTTTTATTTCGCAATTAATTTACATTTAATAAATAAATCATGTATAAATTTTATAATTAAAAGTGGCATTATCTAATATAATTATAATTTTTACTTATTCATTAATTATTTTATATTTAATATATTTATTTATTTATTTAATATTATTATATTTAATGCATATGATATTTTATTATTTAATATATTTATTTATTTAATATACAAAAAATTTAATTAAAATTAAATAAAGTCAATCAGTATAAAAAAATAAAATAAATGATAATAAAAGTTAAATCAAACAAGGTAATTTGATTATTATAAATAAATAAATAAATAGATTCAATATATATAATATATTTACATAAATAAATTTATAAACATATATATTTTAATATTAAATAATATAATATTATTTTATTTATTTGATTTGTTGATTTTTAATTTGTAATTAATTCACATTTAATAAATAAATTATGTATAAATTTTATAATTAAAAGTGGTATTATCTAATATATTTTTAATTTTTACTTATTTATTAATTATTTTATATTATTTAATATATTTATTTATTTCATATTATTATATTTAATACATATAATATTTTATTATTAATATATTTATTTAGTGTTATTTATCTCTATTTATTTAATTTACATATTTTAATTTCGCTATTATTACATATTTAATAAATAAATTTTTCATAAGTTTTATAATTAAAAGTTGATAATCGAGTTGGTATTATTATTATTATTATTATTATTATTATTATTATTATTATTATTATTATTGAAATGGCGTTGAATTGAAGATATATGTATAATTATATATATATATATATATATGAAGCCACATTTCTTGCATACAATCTCATAGATCAAGTGGTTGAAAGTGATTCTTTTGCATAAGAGGTGCATGGTTCAAATCCCCCTATGGCCATATTTTTGCATTTATGCCACATAATAGGTCACCTAAGCTTACAACTAAG